TAACATATTAGACCTGCCTTTTCCAGGTGAGCCATGCACATCCACCCACCAACACCAAGCTCCTGCAGCTTTAGATGTTTAGCAAGCCCACAAATATCTAGAAATCTGAAGTTAGGGCTCCCTTGGCTCCTTTATTTTTCCTGCTGGTGCATGTTTGCACTCAGGTGGGACATCCTAGAGTGTCTCTGTAAGTGCTCAGGCAAAGCCCAGCAGGAGAGGCCAAAGGAGGCAGCTCAGGAGGGGCTGGAAAAGAACTTCAGGCACTGATGTGTTACAGGGAAAAACAGAATGACAGATGCTCTGCCAGGAGGTTGTACATTCATGTGCTCTAGACCTGCTCCTCCTGAGCAGATGGGAGCTGAAATCAAGAGGAAAGCCTTCTGTAAGTCCAGGAAGGAGAGAGCTGAAGGAAATAAAGCCTGCTTCCTGCAAAAATGGCTATAAATGCCCTTCCCCCAGCAAATCTCACCTTCTCAGAGTGTCAGCTCAGTCCTCACTTCGGGCTGCAACCCTCCCCTTTGCTGCTCTTGATTGTAACACTGCACCAAATAACACTCTCACACACCAGCAAAACTCTTCTTAGAAGTTTTGGGAAACCAGAGTTTCCCTGGTTGCAAATCATCTGCTGCAAGGACTAACAGAAGCTGGGTCCTTCCCCCAGGAACATCACAGGACTGGAATCAATAACTAAAATAAAAGCATGAAATCCTCAAGACATGCATTGCAACTACCCAAAGTGACCACATCCTGTTCAGGTAAAATCCACAGTGGTGCAGAGAAACTACACAGGGCTCTCAGCATCTCCTTAAAGCCTCTGAGTGAAACCCCAAGGCCCTAAAATCTAAGCAGTTGCACTGTTTTGTTGTGTCTTAGGTTTGCTTCAGACTAACCATCCTCCTCTTAGCAGCAAAAACTATGTCCCAGGCTTGGAAAAGGCTTTTCCAGTGTTCACTTGCAAGTGGGAGTCAGCACTGGACACTTGGAGTGTCAGTGGGGACAATGTGATTTAAGCTCATGCTGAGGCAGAAGATGTGCATTTGCACACAGATCTTGAAGGGAAAATGAAGCAGCATCATCAAAATATCCCAATTATAAAACATTTCTAACAGGTTTTTGCTGTTGTGTATCAGAAAGTTGTTATACATTACAAATGTGTCCTGAACAGGGCCCAGGCTATGAGGGAACATCATCATTTCTGCCTTGGAAATTCCAGATGGTTTTGTTCCAAACTGCATTTGAGGGGCAGACACGTGGGAAGTTGCCATACCTCGAATCTTTGTGATTTATTGGCCACTTTTTTTCAATCTGCAGATTGGGAGTTTGCCCTGGGAGTCAATGCCCTCTTGCCAGGAAGGGTCACCCCTCTGGGTGACCTCAAAAGGCCAAGCAGACATTTAAACTTGCCCAGAAGGGAAACATGTTCTTGGTCTGAGACCCTGCAGGCCACGTTCCAGGGCCAGAGCGAACGCCTCCAGTTCACAAATGACAAGAACCAGCGATTGCTCTGCAAAGCCAACCCCACCCTTTGCCATGGCAACACCAACACACCAGTCCTCCCCTCCTGGAGGGACACAGCTCTGGTTGGCACCTCCCTGGGTAAGGCCAAGCTCTCACTGGATGTCCCTCAGGTGGCCTCTCTTGGGGCCAGAACACAAGGATAAATATGTTTGCACAGAACCAAGGCAGCAGCTCCACAAAATGTGCTTTTTTTTCATTAACAGCCAGGCTTTAGCAAGTGTATTTGCTTTAATTATTGTCCCCAAGTAAAGTGGAAGTGAAACAATTAAACCAGTTTGAAACCACACCGTTTGTTATTGGGAGGAAGTCCCTGCACGGGCAGCTTGCTGCTGATGAGATGGACACTTTTCTGAATTAATTTGAGGCACTAAAAACCCCAAACACAACGTAAATTAATCCAAATGTGGGGGTTAACCCCACAGAACACAGCATTTGGAGTACCTGGGGTGGCACAATAAAAACCTTATCAGCTATTTATAATTAGTGCAAACACAAATGTGGGGAGTTTCCCTGGTTCCAAATCATCTTCTGGAAGTTTGCTGTTTGCTGAATATTAAGCTGAGTGTGGAAATGAACTCATAAAGGTTTGCTGCTCTTTTTCCTCCACGAAAGACCTTTGGGAATTGCTCCAGAGGGCACTAATGGAGCCAGCCAGGCCACTGCTCACTCCAGGTATTAAACAGATTATTGGAAGAACGCAACGAGAATTGCCTCTCTCTTCCTCAGTAAGTGATCTAATTCCCTTCAAGATACAAAACCTTTTGTGAATAAATTAAAGGTGTTCTAGACCTGTTGTGGTGGCTCAGCAGTATCCTATGGGATGTAAGTCATGCATGGTGGGGAAGGACGACTTACAGTCCTGAGCTGGTTCCATGTAATATCTTTATATCCACAAGGTTTGGGTTAAAAACTCTGAAAACAACTTTAATACACACCCTTGTGTGACATGCCCACAAAGGGCGCAGGTGTAGGCCAGGATAATCCTGCCCACATCTTTCCTCTGACCATGCCCTGTTTCCCCAGGAGCCTTTAGGAGTGCCCAAGGTGCCAGTGGAATTCACCCCTTCACTGCAGAGTTCTCCTGCAGCTGGGCAGGCGTGCAGTTAAATTATTCCATGTGGGTAAACCCATCAAAACTCTTTCTGAATGGCACAGAAAGACTGAGAGAAAAGTACAAGCCCAGCATTAGAGGTTGCAGGGCAGAGGGAGAGATTTTCATGGCAGACTCGACCCAAACTCCTGCACCTGCCAAGTGTGCAGTTAAAAGTCTTTGGCTCAATTAAAACAATTAGTCTGTGGAATAGTTTTGCATAAACTCAAAAAAAAACCCAGTCACTTGCCAAGTTTAAGTTGCTCAAGAAGAAAATGATCTGGAATGTATAGCCCTCTCCCAACTGGAGCCCTTCTCCCCTGCACTGCCAGGAGTATTTCTGAGCTCAGGGAGGGAAGCGTTTCTCACCCGCCCCGGAACTCAGATTTCATCTGCTCCCTCCCCTGTTCTTGCTGTAGATGATGAAAGAGCCTTTTGCTGTGTTTTTCTTGCTCTCCAGTCACTTCCATGCATCTTTCTGCCATATTTTTCCCCACACAAACGCAGCTCTGAGATAAATCAGCATGTACAGCGATGGGAGAGCAGAACTAAGGCTCGATTGCTTTGAAATCACTTTGGCTGTGGACAGGTTTGCTTTGCTGTGCCCTACAATTTAGAGGATCTACCCTGCAGCACAGGTTATGTGGAGAGCTCAGCACATCAAAAACATTGCAGCATCTCAAGCCACATCCTCTCCTGCTGCCCTTCACCTGAGACAAGCCAGGCAAGGTGGCCTAACCCGTCCCTTCTCTGCAGCAAATCTGTCACTGCATGGGGTTGATATTCCTCAGAACCCACTCTTTAGGAAAGCTTGCAAGAGATCTCAGACGATCCCAAAGGCACTCCAAGAGCCCTGACCTCAGTGCCAGAAAAAGGGGAAATTCTCAGAGGTGGCAAACAGGACGTGGGGGACCTGCAGCAACCTGGGACAGCTCAGTGAGCGAGCCCAGGAGGAGATCTGGTGTCTCTGGATCCCGTTTGTCTCAGCGATCAGCCAGGCCATTTCTGCACTAGGAGAGGAGCAGCACAGCGGCAGAGCAGGCAGTGGGCAGGGCCGGGAGCCGGGGCAGTGACCTGGGATGCGTTGAGCGAGTTCCTCCTTGGGCCACAGCCTCCCAACGTGACTGCGAGGGGAGCTGCGAAGTGTCGCAGTTCCTCATCCCCGAACCGCAGGGGCCGCGGGGGAGCAGCAGCTCCGTGCAGGCTGGGGCGGGAGCAGCTCCCCGGCAGCTCCCGGGCTGATGGGAACACTCAGCTCATCAGTTCAGGGCTCATGGCCCGGCCAGGAGAGCGGGTCCACGTGTGCACCGCAGCAAATCTACAGATGGGCGATTTCTGCACTTTCACTGCACAACATTTAGGGCTCCGCAAATCAAGGGAGGTTGTGGTGCACTAAATGTATCCTGAATGAGGCCCGGGTTACTTTTGCTACGGATCTGAGGAGGTGGAGGGGAAAAACCTGTCTTATTCCTGCCATACCTCCCAAATTTTGTGCTTTCAACGCTCATGCTTTCTCCCTTCCTTCCCAA